ATTGAGTCTCATCTTCCGGTCCAGAGGAACCTTTAATGGTCTCATCCTTGTTTTCCACACTGCAGGCACTGTTCCGGTCATTCTCTTCTTCTTCTTTCGTTACCTTGGGAAGATTTATCAGTACCTTTCTGTTTTCAAATGTCTTTCCAGCATTCTCTTGAAACATGCAAGATTCAGTTTCTGAGCATGAAAATATTTTTGTTTCCAACTCTTTTCCCAAGATCGCTTTATCTGTTGTGATGCCACTTACAGCAAGTTTGAGGCTTTCACGTGAAGCTGCAACATTTTGATTCTCAAATAAACACTTGTCAACTTCAGTAATCAGTTTGCCTCGCTCCCCCTTCTGATTCTTCTGCCCTTCCTTACTTTGGTGCATGCCATCAGTGTCACCATCACGGTCTCTTGACAATTCCGCTTTTTCCTTTAGTTTTGCAGGTCTGTTTACTAACCTTTTCTCTTTTTGGTCCTTGGAGGATTCATCTGGCTGTTCACCTTCTTCCACATTAGCACTACTTTCAGGCTCAATTTTATCTTTCATGCCTTCTAATTCCTGTTCTCTCTCTTCTGTGTGTTTCTCAATATCATGCTTTGCTGCCCCCATGCTTTTCAGCTTGCTAAAGACTTCTTCTACTGCCTCTGTCATCTTATGCAGGATGTCAGTAGCTTGGTTACGGGGTCCCTTGTCCCCACACACCCTGCCGGGGGCAATCTGCAAAACATCAGTAAGGGCAGCTCTATACTCCTGCTGAGCGTCCCTCAGGTTCTTAAGCTGTGCAGCCAGGAAATGGTTGGTGTCTTGTTGTATAGCGGTTGCCTGTACCAGAGCCTTCAGCAGGTCCTCCATTATAACACCAAGCAGGTAAGAGTCTTAAAGGTACAGTGCTACATTCTCCACCATATTGTGATCTTTGTCTGCAGGTAGCACGGTCCTCTAGGGCAAAAACATGCACAGTCTTTCAATGCAACTTCATTCCAGGCACTTTATTTGTAAGTTTACATATGAGGCAGCAGCAAATGAAAACATAAATATAACATGTTTCTCTTTAAACAAAAACCTAGCTCGTCTGAGCACTGACTCACTTTGTATATCCCTCTCTATCAGGGTTAAACTAACAAAAACATATTGCACCAACCTTATTAGATAGCAACACTCTGCTAGCTAGCCTGTTGCTTTCCTTTCTGCACTCCTAGTGCTCCAAGCCAGCCTTGACTGCTTCCTCCTGCACTCCCAGTGCTCCAAGCCAGCCTTGACTGCTTCCTCCTGCACTCCCAGTGCTCCAAGCCAGCCTTGCCCTGACTGCTTTCCTTTCTGCACTCCTAGTGCTCCAAGCCAGCCTTGCCTGCTTCCTCCTGCACTCCCAGTGCTCCAAGCCAGCCTTGACTGCTTCCTTTCTGCACTCCCAGTGCCTAGTCTCCTTGACTCTATCTGGAGAGAACAGCCTCTCTCCTACCTGCTTCCTGGGAGGAAGCCAGCAATCCCTCTCCTTTTCCTGCCTAGCCGGGAGGGGTTTATTCCCACTGCAACAGCTCATTAACTGCAGCTGAGCAGTGGGTTGGAGACGGTCCAAAAAACCCTGGCTTGGATCTATGTCTCCCCAGAAAACCTCTAAACTGTGGAGTGGAGCATTGGCCCACCCTTCTTTCCAAATGCTCCACCCCAGGGGCCCATAACTAAACAATGCTTTGTGTTGTGCAACACACAAACTACACGTACTTCCCCTGGGGTTAAAAGGCCTATCTGCCTTCACTTTATCACAGTGTGTATATAGAGGATGTAGTGTGTATGTGTGTATATAGAGGATGTAGAGTATGTAGTGTGTGTGTATATATAGAGGATGTAGTGTGCGTGCATAGAGGATGTAGTGTGCGTGCATAGAAGATGCAGTGTGTGTGTGTGTGTATATAGAGGATGCAGTGTGTGTGAACATAGTGGATGCAGTGTGTGTGGATGTAGTGTGTGTGTGTGTGTGTGTGTGTGTGTGCGTGTATACAGAGGATGTAGTGTGTGTGTGTGTGTGTGTGTGTGTATAGAGGATGCAGTGTATGTAGTGACTGTGTTAGTGAAGTGCATGCAATGTGTATTTGTGGTGTTGTAGTGTGTTTGTGGTGATAAGTAAATTTGTGTGGGTGAGCAGGTTTGTTTGTTTTTTTTTGTTTTTTTTTTGTTATTCCCCCTACATGATAAATGATTCCATGGTGGTCCAGTGGAGCTGGAGGACAGTGAAGAGAAAGAGCCCTGAGAGTAATCTTACATTCCCAGCAACAGCAGGTGCTCTTCTCTCGAGTGCCACGAGAGTACCTGCTGTTGCTGGAAATGTAAGATTACTCTCAGGGCTTCCTCTTCACTGTACACACGAGCAGGGGCCCGGAACAGCACATATATATATAGTGGTACTCGCTATATATATGTTCAAATAGGCGGCCCGGGCCCTGCTCGAGATTTCTTAAAGGTACAGGGGCGGCAAATTGTCACAGTGCCGTCTGGAGCCAATGGACGGGCCGGCCTTGGTCATTGGCACACAAACTGTTTAACCAACACACACTTTCACTGACAGACACACACTGACACACCCACTCACTGACAGGCATACACGCACGTATAATGTTATACACACACACTCACTGATTTGACACACTCTGACAGACACACACAATTACTCAGACACAAACTTACTGACAGACACACTGACAGTCACACACACACACACACTCATTGACCGATGCATACACTCACTGACAGACAACCACATTGACACACATACTCACTGATTTGACACACTCTGACAGACAAACACAATTACACAGACACACACTTACTGACAGACACACTGACAGTCACACGCACTCATTGACCGATGCATACACTCACTGACAGACACACACACAGTCACTGACACACATACTCACTGATTTGACACTCCGACAGACACACTTAGTCACTGACAGACACACACTGACAGATATCCACACACTCACACAGACACACACATACACTCACTGACAGACACACAAATTCACTGACACACACTGACAAATACACACATTCACTGACAGACATACACACTAAAAGACACCCACTGACAGACATACACACACACACACACACATTCATTCATTGACAGACATACACAGACTCACTTACATTTTACCCCAACTCTCACAGATTGTTATTTTTTTTATTACTATTTTAATTTAAATCCAACCAGCCTCCCTGGGAAAGATGGAGTGGGTTCATTGGACTAGCTGTAGGGGCTGCTGGGCTTGTGTGCAGGAAGGCAGGTTGGTAAAGTAGGCAGCGATCTGTGATCTTCCTGCTAAGCTCCCTCACGCACCGGTTAGTGATGCTGGGAGCCAGAGTGATGTTGTAGTCCTGCCCCAGCAACACTTAGCGGTGTGCGAGGAAGCTGAGCAGGAAGAGCTCACAGATCAGCGCTCTCTCGCTGATCACCTGTAATATAACTGGCCGTCTACCTTGGGGAGGGACCCAAATGTGAGCAGCCAGCAGATCTGGGCCCCAGGACTAGCAAGCATTTTTTGCAGCCCCCTGGAAAGTGCCGCACATGGCAAATGCCTTGTTAACCTCACAGTAAATACATCGCTGCACACCAGGGGTAAATTTCTCCTTGCCAAACCTGCATTGTCACTAGCCAGTTGGCGAGTGGAAATGTTGAGCCTTAATGTTAAGTAAATAATACACAGAACTATTGGAATAAAAAAGGAAACACAGCAAGAAAGAAGGAGGGGGTATAAACTGTAGATTTATAAAATAAAATTACTGATTCACTAATTTGTAAAGCAGACAAACAAAAAGATTGACATGGTTATTCACTAAAGTAAGAATTGATGGAAATTCAAAGTAAATTTCAAAACTTAGAGCAAGAGAAATGAAAAGGGGTGGGAACTGGTGGAGTTTGAATGAAATAGAGTGATGGCGAGGTGAAAGACAACCTCACAAGTGGAAGGAAACAATCAGGAACGGCTGCCAAGAGTGGTCGGGGGTAATTATCCAGCGACACATTAATATGCAGTTGTTGTGGGCTTAAACTTTTCTGTGGTTACACAGGTAAGGTGTTTTGGGATGTCTTTTAACAGAGTTCTACATGGCTAAGGCAGCGGACAATCAGAGTCTTTGCCAGTTCAACACAGTGTGGGTTTGTGATTGGGCTGGTTGCCCGTGATCTCAGGACTTTTCACGCTTGTTGAGGGCCACTGGTATATTTCAAGAAAGATATTTAGTGCTGTAGAGTGCCATATGCACTGGCAAGTGCTTCGTATACTGTATAGGTCGTGCTGATGAAGTTTGAAGTGATATATGATGTTGAATTTTATGAAATCCGCAGCCTCCATTGGTCAACCACATAAATCACGAGCCCCTTGCAGAGATCTGTATGGATATTGACTATGTCGCCACTATGAAAGGTGATCCATGATTTACTAGGACTTTATGTTAGGATGTGTTAAAGTGTCAGTGTATGTAGCATATCCACTACAGCTATGTCTAGAGGTTTAAGTACCCAGTGGCTGTGGACACCATTTTTTTAATTTAATTTTTTTTAAATAAAAAATTTTGGGGTAAAAAAAATTTATTTTTATTTTTTTGGCATAGACCATCGCTTCTCCATCAGATTTGGAATTTTCACTTCCCCATTAGCACTACTGATACTATTATTCTTGAATAGCAGTGATAAGCTTAGTGCATTGGAATAATCCATCCAGCCCCAAGAAGACTATTTCCCAAAATCATGGAAAAACAGGTTTACCTCTTGAGATAAAGAGTCATGACTGCTAACCGAGCCAAGCACATTTTTCTGGTTTAAAACTGTGTCCCAAACTGATTGTAAATGTTTTGTATCTGTTATTTTGTAACTAAATTATTGTCACTGCATATAGCTTTACAATCTGTCACTGGTTGTCATTGTGGCAACTAATTTCATTTGCAACTCACAATTACAGACAATTTAGAAGCAATGAATTGTTATATTGAATCAGATTTAGTCCGGTAACTTTTTGCGTAACAATTAGGTCATAAATATCACTATTTCATTGATATCTGATTGTTCTAGAGCCAAAATATTTCATATCTTACCTGGAAAAGTGCACCAACTACTGCCAGACCATCTGATTGGGTTTTGGCTGTTGTGAGATCTTGATATTTTGTGTTATAAAATACATAGTGAATCTGAAAAACAATTACATATAAAATTAGCCTGCTCCTCGAACACTACCAGGATATGAGTCTAACATTTCCCCATCTGACCACCAAGGACTATAACTAATAATAAGAGGGAGAAGGGGTGATGGTGTTGGGGGGGTAATGTGAGAGGGAGGAGGGTGATGGTGAGAGGGAGGAGGGTGATGTGAGAGGGAGGAGTGATGTGAGAGGGAGGGGGTGATGTGTGAGGGAGGGGGGAAATGGGGAGAGGGTGGGGAATAAATACCTTTTTTTTTTATTCCCTGGTGGTCCAGTGTGGGCTACCTGGTTGTCCGGTGGCCATGATATCCGGTCTGCAGCTCCGCAGAGCTCCAGACCATGCATCTCGCGAGACCCGTCAGAGCGTTGCCGTGGTAATCTGTGGCAACGCTTTGATTTGCAATTTCTGGCGAGACACATGGTCTGTAGCTCTGCACACTGGGGAGCTGCAGACCGGTGTCTGCGATTGTTGGTCGGGCTGACAGGAGGGGCCTCGCACCCAGCGGCATACTGAGCAAGCCGCCATGCCCCCTCCTGGTGTCAGGTTCTTTGTCACTGACCAAAGACCTGACACAGTCTGCCCTAAGGCGGTTTAGGTGACCGCGACCCCCAGCCATCGCGAAGCCTTAGGCGGCAGCCTAAACCACCTAATTAAAGAGCCACCTCTGGTAAGGAAGAGTATATGAGCTGTTAATCTGAAGTATATAAGTCACAAAATGAAAATATAATACATACATATTTACACACTGACACACACTTACACACAGAGGACACTGACCACACACTCACTGACAGACACATTTTCACTGATATCACCCACTGACATACACACTTACTGACACACACAATGACTGACAGATACACACACTGACAAACACACTCACTGATTTGACACACATTGACAGACACACACACATTAACTGGCAGACATCCACTCACTGACAGACACATACACATTCTCTCATACACACAAATTATTGTATTACTGTATTTAGGCAGAGTAGACACCTGCCATCCATCCTTGCGTTAGTGCACAGCTGCCCGCCTCCTTCGGCCCTATAGTGGCCAGATAGACAGCTCATGCCATACGCCCTGCTTTTGGTATGTGTACCCCCTAGGGTATGCATACTATAGGTTGAGAAACAAGGGTACAAACCACTATTTATTAATTAAAAATTGTGACACTATTATTGCCAGTACATTTACCATCATTCCAAGTGTGTTGTTATGAAATGCAAAGACTGTCTACACCGAGCATGTCAAACTCAAGGCTCACACTGGCCAAATAAACAAGGTTTAAGTTTATGTGGCTGCAAAAAAAAAAAGTTTGACCTCCTAGACCAACACAAACTAAAACTACTTGTATCATTATCATGCAAACAATATGTAATCCTGGGTACACATCTCTAATTTTTTTAAAGGCTTCACGTGAGGAGAACACAGGAAGGGGGGGAGTAAGAAGAACTGGGGGAGTAAGAAGAAGAGGGGAGGGGGGAGTAAGAAGAAGGGATGGGGAGTAAGAAGAAAACAGGAGGGGGAGTAAGAAGAACACGGGGGTGAGAAGAAGGAGATGAGGGGAGATGAGAAGAGCACAGGAGGGGGAGGTGGGAAGAACACAGGGGGGAGTAAGAAGAAGTAAGGAAGAGTATATGAGCTGTTAATCTGAAGTATATAAGTCACAAAATGAAAATATAATACATACATATTTACACACTGACACACACTTACACACAGAGGACACTGACCACACACTCACTGACAGACACATTTTCACTGATATCACCCACTGACATACACACTTACTGACACACAATGACTGACAGATAGAAGAAGAACACGGGGGGTGAGAAGAAGGAGATGAGGAGAACACAGGGAGGGAGATGAGAAGAGCACAGGAGGGGGGGAGGTGGGAAGAACACAGGGGGAGAAGAAGAACTGGGGAATAAGAAGAAGAGGGGGAGTAAGAAGAAGAGGAGGGGGGAGGAGAAGGGGAGGTGAAAGAACACGGAGAGGGGGGGAGAGAGCACAGGAGGGGGGGAGGAGGAGAACACAGGGAGGGGAAGGTGAGGAGAACACAGGGAGGGGAGATGAGGAGAACACAGGAGGGGGAGATGAGATGAGAACACAGGGAGGGGGAGATGAGGAAGACACAGGGAGGCGGGAGGTGAGAAGAACACGGAAGAGGGGATGAGGAGAAGGGGAGGTGAGGAGAACACAGGGAGGGGGAGGTGAGGAGCACACAGGGAGGGTGGTTGGGGGGTGAGAAGAACACAGGGAGGGTGGGTGGGTGTGAGAAGAGACCGCTAGGGGAGAGGAGAGACCACTAAGGGGCAGGGGATAGCTCTAAGGGACAGAAGGGAGAGTTCTATAGGACAGGGAGCTCTTTCACACTACGCACACACACACAATGCATCCCTATACATACACAGAAAACACAATGCATCCCTACACACACAGAAACACAACATGCTTCCCTTACACACAGAGTAACACACAATGCATCCATGCCTTGCACACAACCAGAAACACACAATACATCCCTTATATACAAACACACACTGCTTCCACTACACACAAACACTGCATCACCTACACAAACTGGTATCCCTAAACACTACATTCCATTAGCACACACATTAGATCCTCTACAATAATACATAACACATCCACTCCCTGTGTGCGAACATATAGATGGATTTATGGGTGGGCCTTATGGGCATACTCACCATCAGGCCCTGGGGCCCAGACCTTGAGCTGTGCAAGGGGCCCCAAAAAATTGAGCTGCTTCCCGTTCTCCTAGAACATTGAATTTTGTGATCACAATTACAAACAGCCTCCAGAGATCCTGTTCTACACCAGACCAGTGGAGCCAAACTGCAGCCAGAGCCCATCACCATCCTCATCTGGTTGTAAGTAGGCAATCTAGTATATTATTAGTGACACTAATCTCTAATTTACCTCACATTAACTCACACTATAGTGCCCAAAACTACTGCAGCTTAATGAAGTGGTTCCGGTGTATATAGCCTGTCCCTGCTGGCTTTTTAATGTAAACACACACTGTGTGCAGCACTGGCGTTAGTTCATATGGCAGATCATATGGGTGGAGCATTGTGATGTCACATGGGGGTGGGGGCGGCAAATCTTTCTTTTGCCTAGGGCGGCAAAAATCCTTGCACTGGCCCTGCTCGTCCCTTCCCCTCACTCTAGTACACTGCCCCCTCCAACCATTCTAATACACTGCCCCTTTCTCCTTCCCCCCAATTTAATATACTGCCCCCCAACTCAAGTACACTGCCCAACCTCCCTCCCTCGAATTTAATACACTGCCCTACTTCCCTTCCCCCAATTTTAAACACTGCCCCCCCTCACTCTAATACACTGCCCCTACTTCCCCCCAATTTAATACACTACCCCCAACACTCTAATACACTGCCCTCCTTCTGCCAATTTAATACACTACAGGAATGTTCCCCTTAAGCCCCTCTTCCCCTACCTTAAGCAGTCTTCCAGTCCAGCCCTGCACGATTTTCTTTGCTCAAACAGGCCATATGCTCCTCTGGCACTGTGAGCAGCAGGGAAGGGAGAGTGGCTGGCCTGCTCTGCACGCAGCCATCCACTCTGTGCACTGTAACGCCGCTGCACAGCTGCCAAATATGACTCAAGCACGCAAAGGGCCGTGGCCCATGGAAAAGCCACAGCACAAAGCAGACCCAGGGCAGGCGGCCCGACAAGTCCAGCCCTGGGCTGCAAAGGTTTCCACGGTCCGCATGTTTGACATGCTTGGTCTACACTGTTCATCATCTCATTTAGATGAGAGGTTCTCATACTCTATTAACTGACCTCCAGTGGGTATCCTTGGTTGTTGATGTAATGCTCAGAACCAATGTTATTCTGTGTGCTGCCAAAATGGATGTGAAACCCTGCCAGCTTGTGTGGATCAGCGAGACTTGCGCCAGTGAGAATATAATCAGAGCTCAGAGTAACTTCAACTAGAGAATTAAAGCAAATAAATAAATGACCATTAAAACGACATGGTGTACTATTTTTGCATTCTTGGTTGATAAATGAAATTACTGGTGGATGAGGTGTTATTAAAATTAAACCCACCTGTGTGTCCATTATTAGATACAACAGCCTCAGAAGATCCAAAAACTCCAGTGATTTGGATGGGACGTAAGTTAGCATCAGTGACAACATTGTTTGTGACAATGTTGATAGGTGATTGCCAATTTAGGTTGCAGGAGTCATAGTGTAGACTCCAGGTGGATGGTTCTGAGGAATACAAAACACATAACATTTTAAAATTACACCTTACAGTCACAGAGCATATTACTTTTTTCCAGGGTTCAAAGTTCTGAAAAGTTGCCTACAGGCCCAAATGTTACCTGCTACCTCAACTTTATTCAAGTTATTATTGTTATTGTGTGGAAGGTCAATGTATGAATGAAGGGGTGTGTTTCCATCCCAAACCCACTCTACATGACCCAAGCCCACCAGCTCAAAGTCAACGCCCTCTGCCATTTCCACTAGCAATAGCCCATTCTCTCTCCCCATCCCCATCTAAGGCAACAACCTACCAAAGGCACAGTGGCTAATTACAAACTAAGTAAAGGTTGGGATTAGATTAAGCAAAATCAGGAAAGACAGGTCTGATAAACAACGGTCAGGACTAAGAAAAATAGACAGTCAGGGACAAAGTCAGGTCTGTTACACACAAATACAGAACTGGTTAATCTCAAAATCAGGGATGTAGGCTGGCCTGACACAAAAGTGGCATAGAATACCACAATTAAGGGCTGTGAGACCATGAATGGGCACTGATACTAAAGATAAAACGTTTTTTAAAAGGACTTGGATCCCTACATCACACTTGCATCATTTGTGCACAGCTGGAGTGCATCTAATAGGATGACAACTTGTATAATTTTAGGATAGATTGAGGCCAGAATAATGTGAACACATCCTGATGAAAATTGTGCGTCTAGAGAACCAATAGGCACTCTGCTGAATTCCTTGTGGTAGTTTACAAGTACTGGCGAGAGAACAGAAGTAGCATTAGAAAAATATTTGCAGGTCAAAGGCTTTAGCAGAGAAACATGGAAGGTAATATGGATGCAAAGATTCCAAGGCAAATCCAAAGTGTAATCCATTGGGTTTACCTGACATATACAAAAAGGCCAAATGTATCAGGGAGACAACAGCTATTATCATTTTCTGAGTGGCTAGTGAGACTCTCCATCTTACTTTGAAGGACAATGCAGTTTCTGTGGATCTGATTCTGTAGTCAACCTTTTGGAGGATCTGATTCTGTGGTCAACCTTTTGGAACAAACCTGAGTGACTCTTCCTATATGGATGAGGATGGGAAGAAGTCTAGGAACAATGCCCATCCTACGGAAAGTCTTAGGTGCAGGCATTTCTTGGCTTCATAAGACAAGTGGCACGACTATTGCCCTTCCTGCAATAGGCGTAGAGACCCTTCTATCTCCTATACTGCTTCTGTGCTTACGATTGTCATCCCCCACTACATGGGCTCATCCTCAAGGCTATTACTGGAGTTCTCCAAAGAGGAAGAAGTTTGTTCATGATAAAAAAATTTGGGGGCTAACCAAACTAATTCCAGTAAATAAACCTTCTAACCCTTCCCTTATCTTTAATAACTTTGTGGGCTCCTTGATGCATGATGAGCGAAGGCTAGCCTGTCTAGTCTAATAACACAGAAGACACATGGTACCTCAAATTGCTGAAATACTTAATGCTGGGTATGCTAGAAATGTGTCAGAACACACAGTGCATCGCAGTTTGCTGCATATGGGGCTGAACAGCGGCAGATCGGTCATTCTCTCTCCCCATCGAGTTCCTCCATGTGTGTCTTTCCCTCCCCTCCATGTGTCTCATTCCTCTCACCCAAACCCCTCCATGTGCATTACCTCCCCCCCAAAGTCTCTAGGTAACCTTACTATTACCCAACACTAAAACTAGCTAACCCTTACACCAAATGCACCAACCCTAACTTTAAAGGAACTGTAACGGATCACCTGGCACCCCGACTGGGTACCTCCGTTGAAGGATGCTCCTAGCGCTTCCTGAGGACTCCAAGCACTGCAGCAGACACCACAACCACCGAACTGGAGAAGCATACGAATGCTCTCAAGCATATGAATGCTGTAAGCAGCTGAACAGGAAAAGCATACAATCAGCTTACACTCCTGCAATCAGCATACAATCCAATTCCCCCAATAACGAGATGACACTTCGTTTTGAGGTCAAGCAGAACTGACTGTACTGGCACATACAGCCTCTTTTATTCACAATCCACAAACATAGTACTGCCCACAGGGTTTTGAAATACAACCAATCAATCCGTACAATACACACAGACACCACCACACAAAATCCTCCCCTCTGCCTGTGATATGATTACTGAACACAATGGTTAATATAATTATCACAGGCAGAGAAATACAGTATTATAAAACTTATCACAGGGAGCCCAAAACATGCAATAACCCCATAAAAGGTATATCCTCAGCACGGGGGAACCTGGGTGAACCACATATCCAAAATTCACCCAGATCCGTTCAGTAGTTTGGAAGATACAGTTTAATGCAGATTCCGCAGAACATAAACAGGCTATATGAAAAATAATTACTGTATAATGTGTCCCATGTTGTATAGTTTAAAACTACTGCACGATGTCTTTGTGCACCAAATACCGGCGAGATGGCACCATGTAGAAAAGTCCAAACAGTGGCTGTGAGTTAAAATGGCAGCCATCCATTGTTCTCACCATGTGCTTCATCCATTGTTCTCACAATGTGTCTCTGATACATGAAATGGTGGCCACCCAGTAACTCCACAGTTTGTCTGGTAGTCTATCCAGCCGGACCAACAGATGAAACACATGGGGAACAGTGCAACAAACGAAAGGAATCATAAAAAATATGGACAATAGTCATATTTGTGCACAATCTCCAGTTTTGTCACAGGGCACAAATAGTTTTTTCAAATGCCATATATCCCAGGGCCATAGTCAGAAGGTAGGAGCGGTCAAGCAGCCCCCTCCAAGAACACGTGGCGAGGTCTGTTCCGCCACAGGAACACTATGGTGTCAGGAATACAAACATATATTCTTGACAGTATAGTCCTGGTATATCTGTTTAGGTCCCCCGGGCCCCACTCAGATTGCACTGAAATGTGAGTTTTTACTCACCTTTTCTCCCATGCCATGCCTGTCTCACTGCGGCTAGCCCTGCCTCCATGGCTGAGATCATCCAATGTCTTCATGCAGCGTGTAGAGATCCTGAATGTAGGTGCAGCACTGACACAGGAAGCACCTCTAGTGGCTGTCTGAGCGACTACTACTAGAGGTGTTCCAAGGCAGCAATGTAAACACTGCCTTTTCTCTAAATATATTAATTGATTTTCTCTATATCTAGTTACAGTGCACGGCCTGCAGGGACAGGCAATAGATACCAGAACCACAACATTAAGCTGTACTGGTTCTGGTGACTATATTGTCACTTTAACTTTTACACCAGCATTAATATAGTATTTTACATACAGTCCTTTCAAGCCCTCTATTTCTAGGATGGCTTGAAATGTCAAACTAATACTCTAGTTCTCAAAGAATTTTTTTTAAAATAAGGCATATTGTTTTAAATTTGATTTTGGTTTTAATATAAATTTAAAACGTAGCAAGACAACATTTTGAGAATAGTCTGTGTAGGGACTGAAATTGTTCTTTGCATGGAAGCGATATGATTTTGTCAGTGTGTTTTACATGCCATTCATTGTTAAAGCAAAGCTGTTGTAATCATAAACAATGCAGCAGGTTAAAGCGATACTGTAGGCTCTGTAACTGTTGTTATTCTACCTGGACTTTCCTGGTGCTGTCCTTCCATTCAGCATTAAACTGTTAAAATTTTAACAGAGTGCCCAGTAGCACACCTTTCTGCTCTGCTTAGACTAATGATGAAGCTTTGACCATGAGTTGCAGTGGGTGGCTGTGAGTTCCTGTGAGAATAAGCTGACTGCTCTCAATCTATCTCAGTGTCCATTATTTGTATGAACTGGTATGGCCAGAAGGAAGTGTATAATATCTGCTTTAGTCATACCTCCAGTTAGGGCCAGGCTGTGGGTGTCCAGGAACCCTTAATTAGTGTTCATTTGCTGGAGTATAGTTTAACAATGAATGGTGTGATGGTGCCAGAGGACTCCAGGCACTATAACCAATGCAATGAGGTCAAATTTATATAATGCCTACAGTGTCCTTTAAATAGGAGGTTATGATGAGGTTAAGTAACATTAGAGGTACTTGGGGTTAGAGGGGATGTGGCTCACAGTGAAGAGAGTTACAGCCTCAGAATCTTAAATGCAACTACAACTTAAAGTAAAAAATATAGGGCCAGGAACACAAGCATGTATTCCTGACCCTATAGTGTGAAAAACACGTAAAGCCCCCCGGCTCCCCTCTTTACCCCCCTTAAATCAGGGGCGGAACCAGAACCTAATCTTGGGAGGGGCACTGGTAGATTATTTAAAGGAACAATCCAGGCACAATAACCACTTAAGTCCTCTTTAGTAGTTATGGTGCCAGGAGTGCCGTAGCGCACTCCAAGAGTAAGTAGTCAAACCGTTTAAGAACAGTTTGTGTGTGTCAGTATGGATCAATGTGTCAGTATGGATCAATGTGTGTGTGTGTGTGTGTGTGTCAGTATGGATCAATGTGTCAGTATGGATTTGTTTGTGTGTGTGTGTGTGTGTGTCAGTATGGATCAATGTGTCAGTATGGATCAATGTGTGTGTGTGTGTGTGTGTCAGTATGGATCAATTTGTCAGTGTGGATCAATGTGTGTGGATGTCAGGGAGTATGTATGCATTAGTGATTGTGTGACAGTCAGGGCCGCCATCAGGGCCCGGCGGTCCTGGGGGGCCCGGACTGCTCAGGTCGTCCGGCCCCACATTCAGAGGGTACATACCAGGCCCCTGCGACCGGGAGTGTATCCACAGGGCCAGCCTCTTCTCCCTGGGGGGCCCAGCAGCCGCCACCTCAGGGCCCCCCAGAGGCTGGCCCCGCAGTCAGCCGGGCGGGTGGGGTCGTGGGCGCCGCCAGCGAGCACCCTCTGTGCTCCTCTTCAGCCCCTTCCACTGATGCCGGAGCCGAAGATGACGTCATCTCCTCGTCTGCATCAGTACGCCGGGCGGCCAAGTGAGGGGAGCTGGGAAGAGGAAGCACTCCAGAGAGTGCCCGCTGGCCGCCTATCAGGAGTGGGTGGTGGGGAGTTAGGAGGAAACCTGAGGAGGCAAGCCAGGGGCAGGAAATTTGAGGAGGAGGGGAGGGAAGGGGAGGAAATCTGAGGGGGGAGAGGAGGAGGAAACCTTGATGGGGAGGAAATTTGGAGTGGGGGGGAGACAGAGGGAGGAAATTTGAGGGAGGGGAGAGAAGGAGGAATTGAAGGGGGGGGAAGCCAATACTTGAGGGGGGAGAGGAAGGACATTTGAGGGGAGGAAGGAAGGAAATTTGAAGGGGAGAGGGAAGTACATTTGAGGGGGGAGAGGAAGGAGGAAATTTGAGGGGGGAGAGGAAGGGAGGAAATTTGAGGGGGGGAGGAGGAAGGAGGAAATCTGAGGGAGGGGGATGAAGGAGGAAATTTGAGGGGAGAGGAAGGAGGAAATTTGAGGGGGGGGGAGTGGAAGGGAGGAAATTTGAGGGGGAGGAAGGAAATCTTGAGGGAGAGGAAGGAAATTTGAGGGGGAGAGGGGGGGAAGGAAATTTGAGGGGGGGGAGAGGAGGAAGGTAATTGGAGGGGGGAGAAGGAAGGAAATGAGAGGGAGGGGGGAGAAGGAAGGAAATGAGAGGGAGGGGAGAGGAAGGAAATGAGAGGGAGGGGGAGAGGAAGGAAATGAGAGGGAGGGGGAGAAGAAAATGAGAGGGAGGGGAAGAAGGAAATTGGAGAGAGGGGGAGATGAAGGAAATTGACGGGGGTAGGGGGAGAGATTGACATCCATCACACACACACAATGCACCCCTTGCACACAGAAAAACACACAATGCATTACACACAGACACACATGCACAAGCAATGCATCCCTTACACACAGCAACACACAATGCACCCCTTACACACACTCAGTGCATCCCTTACAGACGCACACACTGCATCCCATACATACACAAACTCACCTTGCAGCCCTTACACATACAAACACAGATTCACACAATGCATTCCTTACACACATATCAGGACATCCCCTACACACTCCACCCCCTGTGAACAAACTCATTGGTGGAACATGAAGGTGGACCTTGGGACCCAGACCTTGAGCTGTGTAAAGGACCCCCAAAAAATGGAGCTGCTTCCCGTTCTCCCAGAACATTGATTTTGTGACCACAGTTACAAACAGCCTCCAGAGATCCTGTTCTACACCAGACCAGTGGAACCAGACTGCAGCTAGAGCCCATCATCATCCTCATCTGGTTGTAAGTAGGCAATCTAGTATATTATTCGTGGCACTAATCTCTAATTTACCTCACATTAAAGGGACACTACAGTCCCCAGAACCACTGCAGCTTAATGTAGTGGTTCTGGTGTCTATAGCCTGTCCCTGCAGGCCTTTTATTGTAAACACGGCGGCACTGCAGCACTGTGTTAGTTAACATGGCAGATCATATGGGTGGGGTATTGTGATGTCACATGGGGGGCGGCAAACTTTACTTTTGCCTAGGGCAGCAAAAATTCTTGCACCGGCCCTGCAGACACTGCATCCCTGTGGGGGGACTCTGGGGGGGGACAGGGGGGACTCGCAAATTTCTGATGGCAGCCCTGGTGACAGTGTTTGTATGGGATGCAGCATTAGTTTGTGTGCCAGTGTTTGTTGATGAATACAGGGAGTGCAGAATTATTAGGCAAATGAGTATTTTGACCACCTCATCCTCTTTATGCATGTTGTCTTACTCCAAGCTGTATAGGCTCGAAAGCCTACTACCAATTAAGCATATTAGGTGATGTGCATCTCTGTAATGAGAAGGGGTGTGGTCTAATGACAACACCCTATATCAGGTGTGCATAATTATTAGGCAACTTCCTTTCCTTTGGCAAAATGGGTCAAAAGAAGGACTTGACAGGCTCAGAAAAATCAAAAATAGTGAGATATCTTGCAGAGGGATGCAGCACTCTTAAAATTGCAAAGCTTCTGAAGAGTGATCATCGAACAATCAAGCGTTTCATTCAAAATAGTCAACAGGGTCGCAAGAAGCGTGTGTAAAAACCAAGGCGCAAAATAACTGCCCATGAACTGAGAAAAGTCAAGCGTGCAGCTGCCACGATGTCACTTGCCACCAGTTTGGCCATATTTCAGAGCTGCAACATCACTGGAGTGCCCAAAAGCACAAGGTGTGCAATACTCAGAGACATGGCCAAGGTAAGAAAGGCTGAAAGACGACCACCACTGAACAAGACACACAAGCTGAAACGTCAAGACTGGGCCAAGAAATATCTCAAGACTGATTCTTCTAAGGTTTTATGGACTGATGAAATGAGAGTGAGTCTTGATGGGCCAGATGGATGGGCCCGTGGCTGGATTGGTAAAGGGCAGAGAGCTCCAGTCCGACTCAGACGCCAGCAAGGTGGAGGTGGAGTACTGGTTTGGGCTGGTATCATCAAAGATGAGCTTGTGGGGCCTTTTCAGGTTGAGGATGGAGTCAAGCTCAACTCCCAGTCCTACTGCCAGTTCCTGGAAGACACCTTCTTCAAGCAGTGGTACAGGAAGAAGTCTGCATCCTTCAAGAAAAACATGATTTTCATGCAGGACAATGCTCCATCACACGCGTCCAAGTACTCCACAGCGTGGCTGGCAAGAAAGGGTATAAAAGAAGAAAATCTAATGATATGGCCTCCTTGTTCACCTGATCTGAACCCCATTGAGAACCTGTGGTCCATCATCAAATGTGAGATTTACAAGGAGGGAAAACAGTACACCTCTCTGAACAGTGTCTGGGAGGCTGTGGTTGCTGCTGCACGCAATGTTGATGGTGAACAGATCAAAACACTGACAGAATCCATGGATGGCAGGCTTTTGAGTGTCCTTGCAAAGAAAGGTGGCTATATTGGTCACTGATTTCTTTTTGTTTTGTTTTTGAATGTCAGAAATGTATATTTGTGAATGTTGAGATGTTATATTGGTTTCACTGGTAATAATAAATAATTGAAATGGGTATATATTTGTTTTTTGTTAAGTTGCCTAATAATTATGCACAGTAATAGTTACCTGCACATACAGATATCCCCCTAACATAGCTAAAACTAAAAACAAACTAAAAACTACTTCCAAAAATATTAAGCTTTGATATTAATGAGTTTTTTGGGTTCATTGAGAACATGGTTGTTGTTCAATAATAAAATTAATCCTCAAAAATACAACTTGCCTAATAATTCTGCACTCCCTGTATATGTCAGTATGTATGGGCATCAGTGACTACACGCCAGTGTGTGTGCCAGTGAGTATTTATTAATTAAAATTCCATGTATCTGTCTGGTTTTTTTTTTTAATTTAAAATAAATTGAATTTATAAAAAAAAAAATATATATAGTTTTATATAGTTTTGCTTTATCTGTGATTTGTGGGAGTATTATGCATCTATATATTTACACAAATGTATATTAATATATGTGTATTATATCAAAGCCGGTTCATGGAGAGCTGTGGGAGGAAGGCAGGCGGCTGACAGAGGGAACTGGGCGGACAGCTAATTTATTGCAGAGGGAGGGAGAGGGGTGGCTGGCCCATGGAGAGCTGTGGTAGAAAAGGTGGGCAGCTGATGGAGGGGAGCAGCAAGGTAATGGAGAGCAGAGGGAGGCGGGCGGCTGACTTAGTGCCACAGCGAAGGAGCTGTAATCTCCCTGCTCTGCTCCCTTGCGCGGCTTGCAGTGATTCACAGAGCTGGGTTATGATGTCACTCTGGCCCCCGGCTCACTAAACAGTGCGTGAGAGGGAGCCGAGTAGGGAGTGAGTGTGTGTGTCTGTCTGAGTGTGTGTGTTTGTGAGTATGTCTGTGAGTGTGTGTCTGTCGGAGTGTCGGTCTGAGTGTCTGTCTGTGAGTGAGTCTGAGTCGGTTTTTGTTTTTGTTTTTTTGTTTTTTTTTACTCACCTTTTTTCCACGCTGTGGCTGGCCCCACTTCCATGGCTGAAATCCTCAATCTTGACGATCTCAGCCAATCCAATGCTTCCTCATAGCAAAGCATTGGGAGACTATTGTGCATGCACGGCAAAATGCCACTGTGCCAATTTAACTTCTCATAGAGATGCATTGAATCAATGCATCCGTATAGGGAACATTAACGTCTGAGTGAATGTCGCTAGAGGTGTCACCAGGCAGCAATGTAAACACTGCCTTTTGTCTGAAAAGTCAGTGTTTACATTTAAAAGCGTTCAGGGTCAGGATATAGACTTCAGAGAAACTACATTAAGCTGTAGTGGTTCAGGTTAATATATATATATATATATATATATATATGTGTGTGTGTGTATGTGTGTGTATGTGTGTGTGTATGTATGTATGTGTGTATATCTATATACAAACATCAGTATGATACACATATGTTAATAGACATATGCATACATAATACACATTTGGAGATTACACACGTATATAAATGTAACAAGGGTTTTACATTTTTCAAAGGGTTATTCACTAAATTTCTCATTTTAGTAAGTGAAAATCTAAATTGCGTAATTTAGACCAAAATAGCGGATTTGAAAAATCCAAACTTCGCCATAGTGACAGCTTGACTATTGTAGCCTAATTTTGGGAATTTGTTCACAAAACGTATTAGTTTAGTCGATAACCCTGCCCTTCTCTCAGTCTTTCATTCCCTGGTATCAAACTATATCCAACGCAGAGTGCACTCATAGGATTGAGGACTAAACAAAATAAGATTAATTTAAATTAGACACACAGCAGCTATCAGTCAATAACTATTCAAGTTTTGGGGATGAAACGCTGGGTAAATCATTTTCAATCTTTTGTGTTTTTCCACCTGTATATCTGTCACAGTTGGCACAATTAATGTTAGGGCTGGTGTAAAAAAATTCCAGGGCTGCTTTTTATTCCCAGTCTGGCCCTGCTTATATCATTTCGTCTCTCCTTGGCTTTTACTAGCTAGTTGAGTATCTTTTTTTTGTTTGTTTTATCACAGGCTAATAAATCTTCAAGCTGGCCTCTGGAAAGCTGGTCCAGGGTTAGCACTAGACGAGTGGTTCCAAACCAGTTGATGCATTGTCTCAATCAACTATTAAAGGGACTCTCCAGTGCTAGGAAAACAACCCCGTTTTCCTGGCACTGCAGAATCCTGCAGTGCCCCTCTCCTTCCCACCCCCCATCCCATGTTGCTGAAGGTTAAAACCCCTTCAGTGACTTACCTGAATCCAGCGCCGATGTCCCTCAGCACTGGGCCAGGCTCTGCCCCTGCTCCTCCCCTGCCAACATGAGTCAGCGGGGGAGACCTAATGCACATGCGCGGCAATGGCCACACGCGCATTAGACCTCCCTCTAGGAAAGCATTATTCAATGCTTTCCTATGGGGATTCCAGTGATGCTGTTTATAGTTTATAAAAACTGCAATAATTACACTTGCAGGGTTAAGGGTGATGGGAGTTGGCAACCAGACCACTCCAATGGGCAGAAGTGGTCTGGGTGCCTGGAGTGTCCCTTTCAGTGATTTAATCTATTTTGCTTCAGTCGATAAATTGGTAAAACATTTTATTAGATGTCATTGTTTGCAGATGACACAAAACTGTAATAGAATGTGAACAAGATCTTACTTTACTGCAGAGGAAATAAAATAGATTGGGGAACTGTGCACTTAAGTGGCAGATAAAATTTAATGTAGAAAAATGCAAAGTTCTGCACTTCGAATAAAGAATGCACAAGCAACATACACTCTAAATGGTAGTGAATTAGGAATAACACACAAGAAGAATTTGGGAATTGTTATAGACAACAAAGCAGGCACATCTTGAATATGCTGTGCAATTTTGGAAAAATTTTAGAAAAAGTGCAGAGGCGGGCTACAAAATTAATTAAAGGAATGGAAGATTTTAGTTATGAAGGAAGGTTAACAAATTTAAATCTCTTTAGTTTAGAAAAACGGCGCCTCAAGGGGGATATGATAAGATTATACAAATATATTCAGGGCCAATACAAACCATCGTCTGGAAACCTATTCTTGTTGGATCAACAACAAAAACAGACATGAAAAAGGCTGAGCTTGATGGACAGCATGTCTCTTTTTAACCTATATGACTATGTAAGGTTTACTTAAGGATTGTTAAAGACTAGCATAATGAGAACCTAGGAACTTTTTGGTTTTCACATAGAGACTCCAGGTTACAGTTAATATGTGACTCATAACCAGACTCTTCTAAGCTAGGATAGAGACTTGTTAGTCCAACCAATTTGTGAGTTCCTAAATTAATAGAAAAGTATATGTTATATCAATGATGTCTTCCCACCAAATATACCATACACAAATAAAGAAGTAATAAAAATGATTAGAACAGAATCCCGAACAGAATCCCGATGAATAATGGGTTTGTTTCTTGGTTGCTGAGAAACACAAATAATGAACCCTCTAATATCTGTTTAGAGGAAGTACTCAAGCTTTTATTTTACTGTCTTCGTTTCTATATTGCATGCACTTCTCTTTAGGAAATTCGGTAGTTAAAAATAAACAGATCTTAAAATCTTGACCTAAATTTGTCAGTCTGCTATAACTACAACCTGATTTGAATTGAAGTATATTCTCATATTATATGAATTACAAACAAGACACTCACCACATGCTGAATCCAGATAACACCAGTCTTCTGCAGAAAGTGAAGGAGAGGTTCATTATTGTTTGCAAAAACTGAAAACTATAAAATTAAACTTCAAGACATAAAAATAATGTTATAAAGCAGGCATTTTTTAACTATTTCCTTTTTCTTTGCAAAGACAGAGTTGGATACGAAATGCACTCACCTCTGCCATATTTTCCTGGTCTTTATCTTTAGATCAATCTGCCATGACCCCTGTCATATTTGTGTTTTTGAACATGCATGAGAGTAAAAACACATGGTTCTATGGAAGATGCCACTGGAAAACCTTTCACAATTTAAAGGACAACTATAGGCACCCAGACCACTTCAGCTTAATGAAGTGGTCTGGGTGTCAGGTCCAGCTAGGGTTAACCCTATCTGCTGTAAACATAGCAGTTTCAGAGAAATGGCTATGTTTATAATAGGGTTAATCCAGCCTCTAGTCGCTGTCTCATTGACAGCCGCTAGAGGCGCTTCCGCGCTTCTCTCTGTGATTTTCACAGTGAGAAGACGCCAGCGTCTATAGGAAAGCATTGAGAATGCTTTCCTATGGACTGGCTTAAAGGGCGTGCGGCTCGTGCCGCGCATGCGCATTCAGACGATGACGACGAGAAGGAGTAGGAGAGGAGGAGGAGAGTCCCCCGCCCGGCGCTGGAAAATGAGGTAAATTTAACCCCTTCCACCCCCTAGAGCCCGGCGGGAGGGGGGCCCTGAGGGTGGGGGGGACCTAGAGACCTTATAGAGCCAGGAAAACGAGTATGTTTTCCTGGCACTATAGTGGTCCTTTAACAATGAGATGCAATAGAAATCTACTGTGCATCACTTGAGCAGATGGCTGCTTCTATCAGCCTTCACAAATGATGGATAATGGAAAATGACTAGGGGGTTGTCTACATCTGGATCAACAGGAACAGCTAGAATGCATAAATAGATATTATACCCGATATACTTTTTTTTTTCTATGTGTCATAGCAGCCGGTGATCTTCTACCTGCTCAGGATGCCTGTGGCATCCATAAGGTTGGCTGTCTACGATACTCGGCTCCATGGCTCCTACCCAATGACCTGCAGCCTCCTCTGATCTGTCCGTTGACAAGGGGACCCAGGGAGGCCAGTCCTAATTCCTAAGGTGGCGGGAAACTGGGCTGGCATGGCCATGAGCATGGTGGGCAGGGTTAGGACAGAGATGTGTCCTACGATGATGAGTTAGGACAGTGATGGCACCGTGTCCCTTGGGCAAATTTATAGGGTCATGTGACTCTTTTTACAGGGGGAGAGGCAGCTCATGTGACAGTTCATCCCTTTAATTACCGCTCTCTACCTTCAGTCATTGCTTAATTGTTCTGTAGTCTAGTCTGCCTGTGCACCTCTTGTGTCTATGAGAGCTTTTGTGTGATTCCCTGGTTACCAGTATTTTGGCTTTCTCTCTGACTTCAACTCCTGCCACCTGCCCTGACCTTCAGACTGCCTTTGGCTTGGCCTCTCCGCCTTACCCTTTTAGATTTGATACCTGGATATTCTACTACAGACACTCCTCACTTACCGACCAGGTTCTGTTCTTATGACTCGGCCGTAAAATGAATTGGTCGGTAGGTGCGGATGTGCTACAGAGCATGCGCCCCAGTGCAGGTCTATGTTTGGGGAACAAGCCCAACGGAGCAGGGAATCCCTTAAATCTATGTTCAGGCAACATCACCACAGGCGATGTTCCAATTAGACATAGCCTGCTGCCACATTTTGCGGCCCCGGCCCGCATGGAAAACACCGCCGGGGCCACATATTGAGGGGTCCATCGGGTGGTCCATGCTGTCAGGGCCACCCGATGGATATGGATTGTGAGGGGGCCTGGTCAACGCTGGGCGCTTTAAGTGCGCGACCGGGCCCCCTGTGATTACATCAGAGCTGGGAGGAAGTGATTCCCCGGGCACTCCTCCCAGCATACTGAGAGCCCGCGTGGGAGGAAGGAGGAGGAGGGAGTCAGAGTGGGAACTCTGACTCCCATCAGGCTGAGCCCCCACTGGACCCCAGGGAAAGTAACAAGGTAGGAAACATTTTGTGTATGTGTGTGTGTTTCTCTGTATGTGTCTGTCTCTGTATATGTGTGTGTGTCTCTGTATGTGTCTGTGACTCTGTGTATGTGTGTGTGTCTGTGTCTCTGTATGTGTGTGTCTATGTCTCTGTATGTGTGTGTGTGTCTCTGTATGTGTCTCTGTGTGTGTGTCTGTGTCGCTATATGTGTATGTGTGTGTCTGTGTCTCTGTATGTATGTGTGTGTCTGTGTCTCTGTATGTGTGTCTGTTTGTATGTGTGTCTGTGTCTCTCTGTATATGTGTGTGTCTCTGTATGTATGTCTTTGTATGTACATGTGTGTGTCTATGTATGCAGTGGTGTACACACAATTCATGGGGCCCGTATGTATGTGTCTGTGTCTATGTATGTGTGTGTGTCTGTGTCTCTGTGTGTGTGTCTCTGTGTGTGTGTCTCTGTATGTGTGTGTGTCTGTGTCTCTTTATGAGTGTGTCTATGTGTGTGTGCCTGTTTCTCTGTATGTATGTGTCTGTGTGTATATATGTGTGTGTGTGTGTATCTGTCTGTTTTTGTGTGTGTCTGTATGTATGTATGTGTCAGGGGAGATGGGGGAGGCACGGATCGGAGGAAAGAGGGGAGCACGGATCAGGGGAAAGAGGGGGGAGGCACGGATCAGTTTCACACTGGGGCCCCATGGATTGTGTGTACGCCACTGGACATAGCAGTGATCAGGGTATCACAAAATACCTTCTTCAGGGACTTCTCCAGGCTACAGACAGTCCTTTTGCTCACTGACTAAGTTACTGAGAGATAAAGACATCTCCTACAGATGAGGACCCAGCAGCTGCTGGTGGATCAAAACTGCAAGACCTACACCATCTCATCTATGGCTGATGCTGCCACTTTTCTGCAAATGATGGGACTCTTTGAAGACTCACTGTCACCGAAGGAGCACCATCACTGGAATGTTGGCACTATTATACCTTTTGTGCCAGTACACAGCATGTCTTGTGATGGAGAGACTCCCTCCATGATGCAGTTTAGCAGCACTCCTTTCTATTTACAATTAAAAATGTTTACCTAGCTCTGTATGCTACTGGCTTGCCTTAGTTCTGCAAATTCTCAGATTTATAAAACACTATAGCATTAGGTATATAAAAGAATATTCTTATTGCTATAGAGCCCTGTAAGCAGTTTAGTACCCAGCATCCCCTCCTCCCCATTCGAAGGAGAAAAGTAGTTTTAATCACCATGTCTCCCACGCAGCAACAGTCTCTTTGTTGCCCTCTTACCTGTTTTGCTTACATTGACTAAGATAATCAATCTTGATGATCTTAGCCAATGAAATGCTTTCCCACAGGAAAGCCTTGGCAGGCTGGTCCGGATACTCAGCAAAACACTCTTTGACACCATTTTACTCAAAGTGAGAAGTGAAAATTTCAGTTGTGAAAATGACAGTTGTCCTTTAATTGGCAAATAGAAAATAAAATTTCAGAGTAAGAGAGGAAACTCTCAAAAACTTGTCCTTTAATATGTAGTTTTAGTCCATTAAAAAAAAAAATCACTGCCTACTGGCATATGTGTACATTGTTATTCCAGAAACTAAAACAGAACTAAGTTGCTATCCACAGAAACTAGCCCTAGAACTACAATACCTAAAACATTAAAGGAACACTCCAGGTATCATAAGAACTTTATTGAAGTCAACTCTTGCTCTAAGCTCTAATCAATAGCTTTGTATTCATACAGATTACTTGAAAAATATATGTTTGCATGAACAATTTAAATTTGAGTCAGCATCAAGGACATCCTGGCACCATAACAACGTAATTTGGATTAAGCTGTGATGGTACCCAGATTGTTCCTTTAAGTTAGTAAGTCAAATCCATTGTTCCCCTATAACATAGTTGTTCTATTATAATTACCAAAATTTGTTTACAGGATCAATAGCTTTTTTTTTCATTTGCTGATAACTCTACATTTCCTTTTTGGTTTTTGATTTTATTGAAAATAACATTTACTTACATTAAAGGATTTTGTAAGGTTGCTATAAAATAAAGATATGCCGAGCAAAATATATCCAGAAATGCCAAATTTAATGTTTACAGTGTATTATAGTTTTATAAACCGTCTAAGCTCTTACCAGATGAGTGTGCATACATCGCCAACTGTAGCAGCGCCACTAAAATGAGTCTGATCATCTTGAACTTCCGGGAGGTTTTCCACACTGCAGTATCCAAGAGGAAGCAGATTCAGGATGTTTTTCATAATGCCATGTTTAAGATAAATAAGTATGAATTTGAGTCTGAGAGTAAGGCTGGTGCTGTCTCTCCATAGCGCTGTATTGTGCAATATGTTAATGCTTTACAAATAACCAATGATAATGTTACTTTCTACTTATACGTAATACAACCAGGAACTGAAGAATGAAGATGGTGGCTCTCACAAGGGGGAGTTTCAGGTAAATATAACCCAACTCAGCTTAGCCCCCTTCCCAGCAATATATGCAAAAACCCCTGAAGGGGACATAGCTGTTTTAAAGGATTACTCCATGCACCATAATCACATCACCAAAGTTCCAGGCTGGCTAATATCAATTCTGTGCAAAACTGGATGTTACTAAAGGGTTACTACAGCCAAAGCCATTATTTTATGAAACATGGTTTTTCGTTGGAGTAACCCTTTACCATTACACCTTTACACAAGGTAAGCAAAATACAATATATATTGGCTAGCTAATCTCTTCAGGACCAGTGGCATGTCAGGTCTTTCAGTATGACATGGATTTAACTATCTTTGGTAATGTAGTGGAATGGAGAGACAGGAGGGTCTCCTGCTCTTAGTCACAGCAACTACACACGGTGCTGTGATAATTCCTCTGTGAGTCGTTTTGTGCTTTGAAGTTACGTAGAACAGAAGTCACTTAGTTATGTTATCATTTCCCTGGCAATGCAGTAAAAATATTGAGGTCATTAGGGAGGTGAGCTTGCAGGGCCAATTGGGTGGGATGTAGGCAGGCGCAACAGTAGATATTAATTTAAACTAAAGGTGGAGCCATCTATGCTGACGAATGGGTAACTAACATCTCCTAAAGCAAATGAATATAGAATTTGTCACAAACATAACATTTATTTTAGGGTTAGATAAGGAAACCCTCCATAACAGTTTCCTTAACCCCCTCACTAAAAAGCACTTTTTGATTGAAACAATTTTAGCATAGCAATTTCTTGAAGCAATGGATGCATATCTAGCATATGAATGTATTGTAACACCGCAATTTTGTGTATAGATTGCAATGAATACATACTTCAAACATAATACAATGGCAAATTAAAAGCTTTAGACAGTATACAATGTTCTTTATCATGCAGTATATCACATATGGTCTAAAATGTTGGGATTAAAGCAAAAATGCAGTAGATGCAACGAAAACAAATAAATTAAAATGTGCAAATACCATACTTATAGGAATTTGTAAGGACCCTGAAGGCATTACAAACCGTACAGCTTACTGAAAATGGCATCATAAAGTAAAATGAAAGTCTGTATTTATGCATAATGCTCACATAGAGTAAATATAGATAAATTGTAAATTTCTAAAAATAAAGATATTTAAGATTATTATAGCAATCCTTTCTCTGAAATGCTAATGTAATGCAAGCAGTGAAATGGTGGTGGAGGAATGATGTGCCCCATAGAAACTCCCCTTACTGTTTAGAAGCCATAGATGAGTTTACGTTTTCAGCAAATTTGCAGACATTTTATCAGCGACTACTGGCTTCTATCAGTGAAGCTTGGTCATCTACAGGCTGGTAATCATTCCAAGGGTGAGTGAGGTTTAATTGGTTACTCGATTTTGGTAGTGAAAGGGTTAAATATCAACATGTTCCTTAATGAAATGGGGAAATAAAAAGTATATTCCAAGTTTGTCTTGTTTAATGAAACCAAGTATTCATGCACAGCATGCTTCCCCTGTTTTGAGCTGACAGCCTAAATATGTTGCTCTTGTATTTTGAAAGCCTACACCAGAACATGGACTTATTTTCAGTGACCCTCTTTAGTAAGGCAAAAAGCCCACTTGTCACAAATATTGGCTGATTTTCCCTTACATTATAAATATTCCACTCATCTGCTGTTTTATTATGAATTTTTCTGGAATTGTGTATTGGCAAGGGTGATGGTGTTTTATTTCTGCGGTTTAACAGAATTCTAAATAAATTTTAAAATCTTGAAAATAGTATGCTTTTTGCACATAAATGTATCAGTCTTGTTTATATTATATGTGGATTTTCTTCTTGCCTATTAAATAATGACATGATCTATGTCATTACTTAATAGGCAAGAAGAAAATCCATATATATTAGAAACAAGACTGATACATTTATGTACAAAAAGCATACTATTTTCAACCAGTGTGAGCTTCATTTATATGAAAGCATATATTCATTTCCAGTTAAAATTGTGGATTTGCTTAACGTTTCCATGGTGTTAATAAATCATAGGGGTAGTTCAAACTAATTGTTCTGTGGATAAAATAGTAGTAAGCTTAATATTAATTATCCTGAATTTATATTTGGCTCCAAAGAATGTGGTGATATGCATGCCAGTGTCATGATTGTATTATTGATTATGTTTGGCTAATTGTCATAGGCGTTTGAAGTGTATGCAGAATAAACCTTAAAGAAAATGTTATGAAATGATCCCTGACTTTCTTTGTAAAAGAAATTGTACTCACATTATGCCTACTCTGTGTACTCGTCAGATCAGATGGTATGGGAAGATTTTAGCCTGTTTATAGCATTCTGATTTTACGTAAAAGAGCCTCCCCTTTTTGCACTTTGTAAATTGGAAAACAAAACACCTGTTTCAGTTCATATGAAACACTTATCTTTCAAGGATTATAAAAATAGATATTTTGCCTAATCTTTCCTTGCAGGTGAATTATTTAACAGAAGTTGAACCCATCCAAGGACAATGAAAATGATGTAACAATGTTGGTATCAAAATAAATATACTCAAGCAAAGGTGGAAACTATGATCAATATGGGCACATTTCCTTCTTGCCCAGATTATGTAAAGTCGAGCACCATAGCAGCCTATGATCCTTGCATGCATCTTGGTTGAAGAAGGTCCCCTGCCACATATCCCTCCACTCAGTGTCTTATATCGTTTACATTACGTCCTTTCACTGTCTCTCACTCACAACCCATGCCCTAGAATAGATGCCACATAGATGACAATAACATTTTGACTGCAAAAATTATTTCTGTTCCTTGGTTCATTTTCCACCCTCACTCATGTTTAGGTCCCCCTGGATTTTTTGGAGAAATACAGGTAAACCAATTCATTCACTCCAACATTCAGAGAGAGTGCCTTAGATGATGTCTTTAAGACACTGACCAAGTGGACCACATAACTTGCCAGCATTTTAGTTCTGGAATCTTGCTGGTGGAATCAGTCTGCTTTTGGTTCCCTTTGTAATGACATATGTCAACTAAAATTTGTTTCTGTAACGAGAATATACCCCAACACGCAGGATTCAGCTAAACAGAAGACAACACAGAGGAGAGATACGTCTACCGGACCTTAGAATGGCCGGACTCGACGTATATGAGAGGAGACAGAGTCAGGAACGATCCGAAGTCAAGGGCACAGAGACACAGCGTAAACTAGGACTAGCCGGGGTCTGGTACACAGTAAACAGCAAGCCGGTAAACAGAACAGATAAGGATAAAGAGAAAACGTAGTCAGAAACAAAGCCAAAGTCCATACGTAGAAAACTGAACACAACAAGCGCTAAAGGGAACTGAAACAGAAACCACAATAGGGCAGGGAGTAAAGGGAGAGGTAAGTTTAAATAGCTTCTAAACTAATGTGATTGGCTCCTGTCATATCCACACCCCCAAAAGGTAAGTGTATGGGGAGTGTGGCATGACAGGGGCCAATGGGAGCCTTTTGCCTTTTGACAATTTAGGCTCCCACTGTCTCTTTAAGAGCGCGCCCGAGACTCGCGGCGCGCTCTTAGATTCAGGCGGGACACGTGACCGCTTCTCGCAGTCACTGTCCGTCTTCCTATTGAAGCCGTCGGATGAGCCGCGCGCGGCTCGTGCAGCAGCAGGACCGCGCGCAGCTCGAAGAGAGGACCGCGGCCGGCCCCTGGATAAGTTAAGTAACACTACAGTACCCCCCCCAAGGACACGCACTCCGGGCGGGTAGGGCCAGGCCTGGCAGGAAAACGAGAATGGTAAGAACGCACAAGGCGGGGAGCGTGAACAGCATCAGCTGAAATCCAACTACGCTCCTCAGGCCCATAACCCTTCCAATGCACCAAGTACTGAAGTCGACCCCTAAGGTAACCAGAGTCAAGAACAGCAGAAACTTCGAATTCCTCATGACCCTCCACGGAGACAGGAGGGGGAGGCGGAGAATGCCGGGTATAGCGGTTGCGTACGTAAGGCTTCAACAATGAGGTGTGAAAGACATTAGGAATACGCAGATTCCTAGGAAGACCCAAGGCATATGAAACAGGATTAACCTTATGCAGAATATGATAAGGACCTATGAAGCGGGGAGCCAATTTCATAGAAGGCACCCGCAGGCGAATATTCCGCGTGGAAAGCAAAACCCTGTCCCCCACAACATAAGAGGGAGCCGCTCTGCAATGCTTGTCAGCCTAAGCCTTCTGGCGAGCAGCGGAATCCACCAAAGAACACTGAACCTGCTCCCAAGTATTACGCAAACCAGCCAAATGCTCGTCCAGAACTGGCATGCCCTGTGAGGAGAATGCAGCTGGAAGAACAACGGGATGCTGGCCATAGACAACGTAAAAAGGGCTTTTTCCGGAAGAATCATGAGTGGCGTTATTCTGAGCAAACTCAGCCCAAGGAAGCAGGTCAGACCAATTGTCCTGATGGTGAGACACAAAACAACGAAGGTACTGCTCCAGAGACTGGTTGGCACGTTCAGCAGCTCCATTAGACTGGGGTTGGTAAGCGGAAGAAAATGAGAGAGAAATACCCATTTCTGAACAAAAGGCTTTCCAGAATCTGGAAATAAATTGGCTACCCCTATCGGACACAATAGATACGGGAATACCATGTAACCGAAATACTTCTCTAGCGAAGGTAAGAGCCAGTTCCTTGGATGTGTGCAACTTGCGAAGAGACACAAAGTGAGCCATCTTGGAAAACCGATCTACTATCATCAGGATGACTGTGTTACCATTCGAAGGGGGTAATTCAACAATAAAATCCATGGATAGGTTAGACCAAGGTCTCTCAGGAACGGGTAAGGGATGCAGAAGCCCACAAGGAACTCTACGAGACGTTTTCATACATGCACAAGTAGTACAAGCACTTATATAGTCAGTGATATCCTTGGGTAAGGAACCCCACCAAAAATATCAAGAAACTGCTGACATCGTTTTGGTAATACCAGGATGTCCAGCAGTCTTAGTATCATGATATAATGACAGAATCTCCCGTCTCTCGGGAACATCAACAAACAATTTATCAATAGGCCTCTCACTAGGTGCCATACTTTGTTTCGCCTTTATGGTCTGCAAGAGGGATGAAGAAATAGCTTCTAAACTAATGTGATTGGCTCCTGTCATATCCACACCCCCAAAAGGTAAGTGTATGGGGAGTGTGGCATGACAGGGGCCAATGGGAGCCTTTTGACAATTTAGGCTCCCACTGTCTCTTTAAGAGCGCGCCCGAGACTCGCGGCGCGCTTTTAGATTCAGGCGGGACACGTGACCGCTTCTTGCGGTCACTGCCCACCTTCCTATTGAAGCCGTCGGATGAGCTGCGCGCGGCTCGTGCAGCAGCAGGACCGCGCGCGGCTCGAAGAGAGGACCGCGGCCGGCCCCTGGATAAGGTAAGTAACGCTAAAGTTTCAAACCTAACTGGGTCTAATTGAAGCCTCTTGTCAGTGTTGACAAAGCAGCAATTCAATTTAAAGGACCACTATAGTGCCAGGAAAACATACTCGTTTTCCTGGCACTATAGTGCCCTGAGGGTGCCCCCACCATCAGGGACCACCTCCTGCTCCTCCGCCTCTTCTCCTCCTCTTCGGCTGAATGCGCATGCGCGGCAGGAGCTGCGCGCGCATTCAGCCAGTCTCAAAGGAAAGCATTCATAATGCTTTCCTATGGACGCTTGCGTCTTCTCACTGTGATTTTCACAGTGAGAAGCACGCAAACGCCTCTAGCGGCTGTCAATGAGACAGCCACTAGAGGCTTTAGAGGCTGGATTAACCTATTTATAAACATAGCAGTTTCTCTGATACTGCTATGTTTATAAAAAATGGGTTAACCCTAGCTGGACCAGGCACCCAGACCACTTCATTAAGCTGAAGTGGTCTGGGTGCCTAGAGTGGTCCTTTAACCCATACTCAGAGTGCTGCTGCCGTTGTGTGTGGGTCCAAAATGCTCTGAATTCGAATTGTGTATTACAATTGTGTATTGTTATGGATGTAAATTAGTGATAGTAAAATGTCTATTTACTGTGTACACCTGTATTCAATATTTACTCAAAATGGCTGCTAGGGCACCCTCTCCTACCGACTAACTACCTCGTGTAACAAGATGGCGCCTACATGATGGTGACATCACGCTAATCAATAATAAAATCATGACACTGGCATGTATATCACCACCTTCTTTGGAGCCAAACATAAATTCAGGTTAATTAATATTAAGCTTACTACTATTTTATCCACAGAACAATTAGTTTGAACTACCCCTATGATTTATTAACACCATGGAAACATTAAGCAAATCCACAATTTTATCTGGAAATGAATGTATGCTTTCATATAAATGAAGCTCACACTGGTTGAAAATAGTATGCTTTTTGTACATAAATGTATCATTCTTGTTTATAATATATATGGATTTTCTTCTTGCCTATTAAGTAATGACATAGATAAGACACTTAAAGGGACATTATAGTCACCTGAACAACTTTAGCTTAATGAAGCAGTTTTGGTGTAAAGAACATGCCCCTGCAGCCTCACTGCTTAATCCTCTGCCATTTAGGAGTTAAATCCCCTTGTTTGTGAACCCTAGTCACAGAACCCTAGTTGTGACTTGCACATCCTTCCATAAACACTTCCTGTAAAGAGAGCCCTATTTAGGCTATCTTTATTGCAAGTTCTGTTTAATTAAGATTTTCTTATCCCCTGCTATATTAATAGCTTGCTAGACCCTGCAATAGCCTCCTGTATGAGATTAAAGTTCAATTTAGAGATTGAGATACAATTATTTAAGGTAAATTACATCTGTTTAAAAGTGAAACCAGTTTTTTTTTCATGCAGGCTCTGTCAATCAGAGCCTTGGGGGTTGTGGCTAGGGCTGCATAAACAGAAACAAAGTGATTTAACTCTTAAATGACAGTGAATTGAGCAGTGAAATTGCAGGGGAATGATCTATACACTAAAACTGCTTTATTTAGCTAAAGTAAATTAGGTGACTATAGTGTTCTTTTAACACCTAACCAATTAGAGATGTATTCTTTCTGTTATCTACATTTTTGCATATGATGTATTCTTGCCTTTATAAGGGGCTTGCCGCCCCCTTGATTAAAACATTCCAAAGTTTTTCATTAACCTGATACCTGTGTCTCAGTGGGCTCTCTTCAGAGCGTGCACGCTTTTACTTTAACAATTTGGAAGGGAGCAGATACTCAAATAAACAAACATTTGGTTTGATCCACAACATTTGGCAGCCAACATGGGGCTCAGGGTTTGTGACCTTTCCTGGTCAGCCGTCCTAGAAGACACCGGGGACAGACCGGCAGTGACGGAAGAGAGCCTTATCAACTCTGAA